ATCAGATAATTAAAGGTTCATAAGATTTTCTTCTATTCCTCTATAAAATATTAAAACACAGACCAACATGGAAAAAAAATCTTTATTTCAATTACTTAAGAAAAATTACAAAGCCATACAGGTTAACATTTTAACCCACAGACGTAGCCTACAAAGCGAGACCGAGCAAGAAATTTTTGTAAAAGAAAAATACATATCAAATAAGCAAGGTCTGCAAAAACAAACTGCCATTTTTGCAACACTTGTGAAGTCAGATACGACAAGGCATATATGTGTGTCCAAAAGAAAGAAAGAAAAACGTTAATCTCTCACAATAATACTGCCCTGATTTTCACACAGCGTGGTACACTTATTGGCATAGAGATTTCTGATCCAGTTTTAAAACTCAAAATAAATGATGAATTACCTCAATAGGAATATATCTTCATTACATTTCCTTCAGGAATACAAATCAGCCTCTTGCAGAGGGATTCATTTAGGATCACAACCAGCTACATTTAAGGCAAAATCAGGTTCAATTATAAGCAAGCAAAAGTAACAGATTTCTTTCACTGCTGATTTAAAGGAAATCAAGTAATAATCCAGACATCAATGGGAAAAAAAAGACTCTGAAGGAGAGAAATCTATGGTAGCAAACACATTTTCTCCCTGTAAACAAGCCTAAATGAAGTGTACACATTCAAATACACATTTCATACAGTTTCACAGAAGCGGAAGCTTCTCAGAGAGGCAAATCAAACTCTGCACGGTCAACATCAGTAGTGTATGGAGTATTTCAGCGCATGAGAAAGACTGCAGTGTTCACAGGAAACGCATAATATCACAGTATTACTTTACAATACTTCTTTTCGTCAGGCCTGTGACTGTCAACCGAGGCCTTATTCACTGTTGCACAACTTTAGCGTAACTGTAATAAGCCTGAAAGAATGTTCATAGTGCTTTAGTATTTCCCGACTCGTGCTTTAGTGACGTGGAAAAAATAAATCAGCCTCAGCTTTGTGAGGTGCTTGTGGAAATAGTGCTAAACGAAGAAATTCTTAGGAAATGAAAGAGCACTTGCAACACTGCCATTTTTTACTGGTTCTCCTTCAATCAGTTATAAAGTGGTTTCCTTCAGGCTAATCCAGCTTGGCTAATCTAGACTGGACCGGGAATGTCATACATTTTCAGAAGAAAAAGAAAAAAGATATTAGGCAAAATGGCTTCATATACAATCATATCGTATTTTGCAGAAAATCCTCCATAGTATATGCAAACATATCTATATATTACTTCTTTTATCAGTGATAAAAATGAAATAAATCTTCATATATGTTCTTAATTTGTATCAAACAATAGCAGGAAAGGCATATGCTATGAGAACAGTCATAGACGCACACACAAAAAAACACACATTCATGATTCCATGATACATCAGACCCTCAGCATACTTTATATATCAGGTACCGTTTATGATTCTATAAATTTTTGAACACGCTCTCAGACAGACACAATGACTCGAAAGGGAGGTGTTATTACACATTTAAAAGACAATTGCATCGTTTATGCCAATCAAATGGATAGGTGTAAACAAAGTCATTTAGAGTGGTTTGGTGTAACGCTCCGCTCTAGAGAAGCTGAATGAGCAAGAACTGTTTACAGTGGTGGTGACAGGGACCATCTGAAGAGCCTAAAGCCTCTAAAAGCTCCCTCACATAAAGTTACTACATGAGACATTGTTTTACGATAGTTTTGAGATGGTTTTGGCCCACAACATATTCTTTTACATCCATTTATGCTGGGGAGACACCGGCAGGGTGTTATGAGGCAAAATAGTCCCCAAAAGAATGTTACTTTTTTCAGATTTACCCCTGTTGTTCCATCATCAACATTAAATATAAATAGTTGAAAGCCATGCAAGTTTACTGGTGGTTTTGGGTAGTAAATAAAAAGGCTATATTTGTGTTGTAGTCATGGCGACCCCTGGCTCCTATCACCACCACTGTAAAGAAATCTAGAGTCTCTACAATGAAGTATTTCACACCAAACCACCCTGAATGACCCTTTACATCTAAATTATTTAATTACGCAGAAAGTCACAAAGATTGGTGGAATTCCCCTTTGGCACCCTGGGGCTCTATGTTTGATGCATATGCTGCTAACCACTGTGCCATTTTCTCAAGCAATCAGCCGCTGTGTGGTCAACTGTCACCTGACCACCATTAGTCAGCTGTGCTCTGTGGACTTGGGCAGGGTGCACTGCTACACTACACATAACTAATTTCACGTGTTACACCACTTGGGCACCTTTATATAGAGTTTTATCATAGTTCATCAATAAGCAAAACCACACAAAGGTCAGAACAGCCATGGTAACGAATTCCAGACAAGCTTTTGCTTTGTAATCAGCTTAGTAAGGTGATACAGTTGTATGCAAAAGTTTGAACACCCCCTGATCAAATGATGTTTTGTTGATTTTCACATCCTGTACAGAGAACAAATAGAAAAAATAAAACATTTACTTCAGGCTAATCCATCTTGGCCTATCTAGACTGGACTGGGAATGTCATACATTTTTAGAGGAAAAAGAAAAAAGATATTAGGAGATATTAGGAGAAAAGATATGTTTAATTTGCAACAAACTAAACTGTAAAGTAGCAGGAAAGGCGTATGCTAGAATGAGAACAGTCATAAATGCACACACACAAAAACACTTCTGCATATGCCACATTTCCCCCCAAATATATTAAACTGAGCAAATAAACAGTAATTGTGCATTAAAATGTGCAGAAGTTGTTCTCTGTAGAAAACTTCACTCAAAATCAACAAAAGACGCAATATGACGCGGACGCAAAATTTTGCATACGGCTGTATGTAGCAAATCACAAACATGAAGGCGAATAAAAGACAGATATTGGGGAAAAATAAATAAGCTCTACATTTTTGATTATCTGGTCAGGGCACGATTCTTCTACTTTTTATTGTTTAGTTTGGTAAGCAGCTAGCTAACAACGCATTTGCAATGTAAACCACCAAAACCTGACACTAGTGACTGATGCATAGGTGACAAACACATAGACAAGGACACAGAGTAGGGACTTAACGCTGTAGCATATGTGTGATATCGGAAGCAGAGTACAATGCAAGTACCTTTAGAGTACACCAGTACATCAGGCCCAAGCTGGCCTTCAGCTTGACTAGAGCATGTGTGCATTTGATGCTATAGTATTATATTAAATACACTGCGTTAGGTCTCATATACACACCATTATAAAGTCGTACAGTACACAGCCACATCCTAACCCACACACACACACACACACACACACACACACACACACACAAAAACATTGTCCTTCTAATGTTATCTTCTAATCACCGATATAACTTTCATTCTGGAGTATTCAGGCACAGTTTATGGCTGCAGGCAAATACATCCAAGCTGAACCATTTAATCTAGTTACACAGTTGATCTCAGAACAGCAGCAAAGGCTCACCAACACTGCTGCTCCTCAATCCCAGTCCTGGAGGGCATTACAAAGCAGAATTTTTTTAATTAGCCAGAAAAGTCAAAAGGGAAGCCTGACCAGCAGAGCTAAAGAACATTGCAATCGGTCAAACCTCATTTTTGGTTTAAAGGAGACACTGACTTGTCTTTTCCTTCATGCTAACTGGTGGCTGTACCACCACGCTACTTGCTGTCTACTATCCTATTCTTTTAAGCAATCCAGCTAAATGAGGAATCCTGCTTTGCAGAATATGTTTGGGATTTTCCCTGCTCCAACACGCTTGAGCTCAGGAAGAGCTCAATAACTAGGCCTGTCAGTTATTACATATTCATCTGATCACAATTATTTGAGATGACTACAGTTATTAACTAAAATTAATTAACCTTATTACATTTCACAATGATATGTTTACAACACAACAAACAGAATTTGCTTTGGTGTTTATGTTTGTTAATAACACCTTCAGAGGGCGGCGGTGAGTAATGTTTGTTTATTTGATGTTTGTTAAAAACACCTTTAGAGGGTGGCGGTGAGTAATGTTTGTTTATTTGATGTTTGTTAAAAACACCTTTAGAGGGTGGCGGTGAGTAATGTTTGTTTATTTGAGCTTAAGTTGTTTCTGTCAGGCACTAAGAAGTATCGACAGCTAGGAAATAAGACAGACTGTCAGCCAATTTGTCCAGTTTAAGCTTGTGATAACTGCATACCATAAACAAAAAAGAATTTAAATTAAACACAATTAATTCTATTGCAGTTAATTTTCAGCTAAAATTTCAAGATTGTGGCCTATTTACCTGAAGCAGGTGTGTTAGAGCAGGAAAAGAGCTGAAACCTCAGGACTGGCATTGGGGAACAATAGACAACCTATTAACGTCAGACCTTCAACTGTGTTTAAACTCCACTGGTGTGTCACTAAACTGGTAGTGATTCCTCAGAACTGGAGTTTGACACTTCTGCTGTAGAACACGTCTACAGAAAATCACAGGTTTATTATATGCAATATCTCTACATAATAGGGCTGCACAATATTTCATTTATTAACTGTTATCATGATACTGACCTTTGCAATACTGATATCTTAAATGCACCCTCTAACCAATCACAATGTGGGCTATAAGCTTTCTGAGCAATTCTGTAGCTGTTTTGTTGAATCAAGGTATTCATGAATCCAACAAATGTAAATTACTTCTGTCAAATTGAAGCACGTCAGTATTTAATCATGTGACATTCACGAGAGCTATTTTTAATATATTGCAAGGCATACAACAAATCACAACATGTAGTAATATAATTGCAATACTATTTTTTCCCCATATTGTGCAGCCCTAATACATACTGATAAACAGTCCGCCTGATTAAATATTCACACCCGAACCCTTAATTCATAGTTGCATATCATCTTCCTTCCAGTTTCCGGTGAGCACAGAGACTACGTTACCCACAATCATCTTCTCTCACATACACAGTCCGTCCTCTCTGCCCAGACTTGCTTCTTTTTCCTCACATTTTTTCCTCCCACAGGAATTAACCTCTTCATCATCACACCCTTCACTGATAAAGTAATTAAAGCAGCAAAGTTTTTGTGTCTTCTTTGTTCTCCTCAAAGGCAGGAAGGAGACACCAATGGCCCCTAGCGTGGATGTGAGGAGCAAACTGCTTCCTATTACCCACCAATATTAGCTCTCTGTTTGGCCACCTGCTGGGACTTGTCCAGCCCCTCACAGACCCTCAGAAAGAGGAACGTCAGGCTCAGGGGTATTCGCGCCCCCCTTGCTGTCCGTTAGTGTCGTGTCGGACCGAGGGTCCATGGCGGAATGCATGATGTGGAGCCACACGTCATCCATGTTTGGCATCACAAGGATTTTCTGTAGAAAAGAGAATCAACAGTGCACTAAAATACAAGAACCAAGTAGGGGACTTAGGATTTGTCATTTCACTTCTAATAAATAGGAAATAAGTGGATGTACAGTCATGTGCAAAAGTTCTGGCATCCAGGATAACTGACGTTTTGTTGATTTTCTAAGTGAAAATAAATTAACACATCCTCTACAGGAACATTTCTGTACATTCTAAGGCACAGTTACTGTTTATTTACTGAATTTAACATATTTAGTTAAACTCAGCAAATAATGAGAAATTGTGCTCTAAAATGTGCAGGAACATACCATATTTAAGTATGCTTTCTTTAGAGGATGTGTTTTATTTATTTTCTCTCACAAAATCAACAAAACATGTCATTTCACTGGGCTGTTCAAACTTTTGCATATGCCAAGACGTCTGAAAACTGGAAGTGCTGTGTTTGCACTCTTTGGAGGCCTGTTCATATGTCTACGACAGCGTTTTAAGGCCACTGTTAATAAAAATAAAAACAGTAGACCTCCGAGAAAAAAAGTCATACTATTTTGAGAAAAGAGTCATAATATTTTGAGAAAAAAAGTCATAACATTTCGAGAAAAAATTCATACTATTTCGAGAAAAAAGTTGTAATACTTCAAGAGAAAAAGTTGTAGAATTACGACATTAAAGTGGCATTAATACCAGGAAAGGTTGCAATATTGTGGCCAAAGACTTTGCAAAGGGAAGGCAGCACCTCCTCATGTTAAAATGAGGGGCGTTGAGGAGTTGGTGAAGTTATACTTTCATATTGATTTCACCCTTAAAGAAATACTCAGTCTCCCTGTCTCTCCTAGCACATCAGCACCAGCCTGTTATAATATAAGAAACAGCTGAGCAGGAAACTTTGTTTATTTAGAATAAAGAACCAGACGGACTTGGAAGAAACTGTCTGTCTGTTTTGTTGAAGGAGAATCGCAGGCAGTGACCGTCTACACGGCTATCACTGTACATCTCTGTGCCATTCAAAGAGGGCATGTAGTTTCACAGACAGTGAGAATGATGATCAAAATCATCGATCTAAAAGCAGACAGGAGTGTGTGGAACTCCAGTGCCAGTACAGCAACCGAGACCCCAATGTGTTATGGTAGCCCCCTACAGTTATCCTCGAAATATTATGACTTTTTTCTCAAAACAGTACAACTTTTTTTCTCTAAATATTACGACTTTAACCTCAAAACAGTACGACGCTTTTCTCGAAATAGTACAACTTTTTTCTCGAAATATTCTGACTTTATTCTCGAGGTCTACTATTTTTATTTTTATTAACAGTGGCCCTAAAAGGCCGTCATATATGTCACCATTAGAGCTGGATGAAATACAAAATGCATGTCACTAGAAGGTGGTTCTGATCCAGACTTAACAGCAGCAGTAGCCTTTGATCATTTCGAAATCAGTCAAAGTTACTCACAGTTGTTGCACTTCACAGAATGTAAATCAATTCTAAGACAACTGATGCAGTACGGATTAACTTGGGGAAGGAAGACATCCCCTCTCTTATTTTCTCTCCTGATCAAATGAAGGCGCTAAACCTATTCTCAATACATCTTCTCAACGGATATGGTCTAATTCAGGGGTGCACAACTCTGGTCCTGGAGGACCGATGTCCAGCACAGTTTGGTAGTGTCCCTACTCAAACACACCCACTAAACCTGGCAAACATATGAGCAGTTGAATCAGGTGTGTTTGAGCAGGTAAAACACCAAACTATGCTGGTTAATGGCTAATTACTGCTGAAATTTCATCTTGATGGCCTGTAAACTTTTGGCATGGGTTGACCTTATTCTGTATCATTGAATAATAGCACATGTATATGAATAATCCACATGTTTACATTATATAAGAACATTAGTTAAAATACATGACTGTAGCAGGATTGGGTACAGAACAACACATTTGGTTTTGAGAGGAAAAAAGTTATTTTTTTCTGTTTAATTAAAATGTAAAAACATGGTGCCAAAAGCGCTCTTTAGCATACTTCCTTCAAAATATCATCTAGATAGATTTTCATTATAAATATGCAAAGCCATTTATTGGAGTTTCACTGGCAAGCCAGTGTTAGATGCCGTTATAGCAATCATTAGCTAAAATTAGGCAATTTTGCAATAGATGAATCTGTATGTGAGTTTTGCAGCTAAGCATTTACCTCCACATCTGATTTGTATAAAATGCAAATATTAGAAACGACCTGACACATACATTCTGTAAAATCTAGCTGACAAATTGATGCAAGATGCACCAAGTGGGCTTCTTATTCCAGGCAGGGAGGCATTTTGCCCCAATACTTGCCCTTTTAAAGATTTTCTTATTGAGAAATGCAGGATATGGGCCCTTTAAGATGTAACAGAGCGCAGAGGTCTTCAGATCTGGACCTTGAATCTAGTTTCCCAGTCACTGGGAGGTATGACACTAGGTGGCCAATCAGTTACATCAACAGTTCACTTGACTACCAGTGACAACAAAATACAGAACCGGAAACTGGATTGAAGGTCTGGATTTGAAGACCTCTGATACAGCGCAGGACATCCTCAATGTGTCTGCCAGGTTCAGTCCGGTACAGTGAGAGTAAACGAGTGATAAGTCTCTGAAATGGACTACCAGGAAAATTGTAAACAAATCTACAGTTGTGTTCCTGTGCTTAAAAAGGCCTTACCTGGAACTCCTGCTCCAGTTTCTTTTCTATCCAGTCTGTTACATGTGCAAGAGTCACTTCTCTCTCTCCCAGTTTGGGACGTGCCTTCAGCTCCAACAGGGGTGGACTGCGGAAGCCATACCTGAAAAAAAACAACATGTGGATTAATTTAAAACTGTTTCTATTCACATTAGTATTCCATTTTAATGCCTCCAACACTTGCAGAGTTATTATCACACCACTAGGTGGCATCAATGCCACAAGAGACAGTCTTCTGAAATGTATTGGGATTAGTTGGAGAGTTAACTATATATATATATATATATATATATATATATATAAAAACACCAACGTTCTTGTTCAAGGCTCTGCACACATAAGGTTCCGTCTGTCATCTTGGGATGACTAGCTTGTTTAGCTGTCCTTGATTTGATTGCCCCTCATCTAAATATGAACCCAACACAGGCATTAGAGCAGAGGTCAAAGGCGGAGCATACCATATCCTGTCAGTGGGGGGAGGGGGGATGTTGACGGCCAGCGTTCCTTTGCACTCCTGAAGCTCTACGGTGAGCAGGAGAGGTGTGTTAGACACCTCCTCCATCTTCTTTTTGATGAACTCTGTCTCCGCTGCCTTCTGGAAGTACTTGTTCTTGGTTATCTTGTCCACGAATCTCATGATCTTGCTCGGTCTGTGGACTCCAGTGTATCTGGTGAGAAGGAATGCAAAATGATATTGCTTGTGATCATGATTTTAGACTGAGGAAGATTTATTAAGACTAGAGCTGTAGAGTAGCTTAAATAAGTCACCATCATAGCTTAAATTCAGCCCTCTCCTGCTTTCTCTAGCTTTAAAGAGCATCTCAAAACCATGACATTAAGCCAAGCTGAGAGGTGAAAGGTCACCTGCACTGTGGAAAATTAGAGTTGGCATTTTGAGCGACTTGTGTGTCAAACAGCTCCCTGTAACCTGACTCACTAACCACAGTATTTCACAATGTTTTCAAGAGCTCATGGAAAAAAGTCTGTCTCGTTCGGTTTCATGAATGTGTTAAACATGAAGCACTCATAAAAATAGAAAAATGTGGAGGTGGGCGATATGACAAGAATAGATAGAAATACAAAAAGAAAGAGCGTGCAAGTGAGAGACAATGAGCAAAAGAGAAAGAGAGAGCGAAAGAGACCACAAGAGAAAAAAGAGAAAGATGGAGAGAAAAAAAAGAGGGAAAGAGAAATACAGTGCAAGCAAAAGAAAGAGAGTAAGCAAGTGTGTGAGGGAGAAAGCCACAGCCAGAGAGAATTAGAAAGAGAAAGAGAGTCTTCACTTACCCCTCTGCTCCCGGGGGCAGGTTTTTATCAGTTACGTTCTCTGTCCCGTCGTCTTCATCAGAGGAGCCGGCACTGGACGATTCCTCATCACTGTCGGCCAGGCAGTACGTTCGAGGTCTGTGCCTGAGAGTTAACAAACGGACAGACAGTTTAATGTCCAAGACAGTGACCAACAAACATTCTCTGATGACTTTTAGCCATGATGCCCTGGAACAAAGGATCCCAGTCCAGTTTTTGAAGATCTGCAGCCAGTCCAGTTTTATTCAGTTTTAACAAAAATAATAATGTTTATTTACATAGCATCCATACATTAAAAATGCATCTCCAAGTGCTTCACGATACAAAATAAAAGCAGAGGAGGAAGAGGAAAAAAAAAAAATCAAAAATAAAAACAAAATATAATAAATAATAAATAGTAGAAAGGGGATATTATTAATAATTATGTATAAAAAGCACAAGCTAAAAGTATAAATAAGAGAAAAAAATAAAATAAAAGTGCAACTAACAAGAAAGTAATAGTAATATTTCACTAAAAACAAAGGAAAATATTCCTTAAATGAAAAAAGAAGGAAAGAAAGTTTTTAACTGTTTTTTTTTTAAATGTTGACAGAAGGAGCCTGACGGATGTTGATAGGTAATGTGTTCCAAATCTTTGGTGCATAAAAGCAAAATGCTGTTTCTCCACTCTTTAAAGTTTTATATGTGGAATATGGAGAAGGCACTACTAGAGGATCTTAAAGCTTGATTTGGAACAACAATCTATCAGCACTTAGAAATGTATGAAGGTGCTAAACCATTAAGAAATTTAAAAAACTAGTAGTAAAATTTTATAGTCGATTTTAAAAGAGGCAGCCGGTGCAGTGATGCTAAAACTGCTCTAATGATTCTGTTTTCTAGTCTGTGTTAATATTCTTGCTGCTGCAAGTTGTAATTTGATGGTTGTACTTGCAGGAAGTCCAATGAACAAAGCATTACAGTAGTCAAGCCGAGAAAACACAAAAGCATGGATCAATTTCTTAGCATCTTGCAGACAGAGATAAGGTTGAATTTGTTCTATATTGTTTAAATGATAAAAAGCAGTTTTGGTAATATTATTAATATGTGCTTTAAAAGTTAAATCAGAGTCTAGAGTTGCACCAAAATTCCTGATTTCAGTTCTTATTTGTAGAGTCAGATTTCCGAGTCTTTCATACACCTTTTTCCTCTTTGCTTCACAACCTATCATTTTAGTGTTTGTTCCAAACCATTTGACGTAATAAGATGTTGCCGCTCTTGATTTTCCACCACCGCTGTGTTCCAGGTCTTGTTTTGAGCAAAAATATACGGACGGCTTTGGATCCTCAAAGACTGGGCAGGGAATCTCTATGATATCAATATCAAACATCACACTACAGGCATCGCCTACAGCGCACTCAAACACATAACATGCATGTTCACACTCAGTTTACAAGAAAACACTGCTAAACACAAACATGCACACACCAAAATAATCCGCTGTGGCTTCAGTTTAAATCTAAAGGCCTCAGTATGCTTGTTGTAAAAACCCACAGACTGTATGAAAACTCACAAATGAAATAAAAATGTTTGGGCTTTGTTTTTCTGCACTGGCTAATTTGTCCGTAAAGCGTGCCACTAGGGGCCTTCAGAGAGAGGCTTTATAACCTGATCCATTCCTGACACAATCATATGCAAAACTTTGGGTAAATTACATGTTTTGTTGATTTTTTAAAGTGAAATAAATAGATAAATAAATAACACATCATCTATATAGAACACACTTCTGCACATTTTAATATTCAATTACTGTTTATTTGCTGAATTTAACATATTGAGGGAAAAATAAAACATGCAAAAGTTTTATGTTTATTTTTTCCTATATGTTAAAATGCCAGATTTAAGTGTGGTCACTGTAAAGCAGGGGTATCCAAACTGTTATCAAAGAGGGTCAGATTGAACCATGTCAAAATACCCAAGGGCTAAAATATTATTCACAAAGGTTTTGAAAATAATTTAGGAGGAACAATAAACCATGTCTAATGTATTAAATTTATTCCGATTGAAGTGTTTACTTGTTAATAAAAATATAATTTGTTAGACAAAGTAAACAAAAATGTGTAAATTTCAGTGTTGTTAGATAATGTTGTTTACATATCAAATAAATGCAGCAACCACAATCAGAAATCACTTTAATAAACGAGAAAAGCCAATTAAATTCTATCCGCTGGCCGCATTTGGCCCTGGGGCTGGACTTTGGGCAGATGACTGTATCATTCAGTGATAACAAACAGCAAAAAAGTTTTAAATTGCAAATAACCAAAAAAAAAAAGACAGCAGATGTTTCACAAGAGCCACTCACAAGCTATAAACCCCAAAATAAACACTTGCCATATGAAATTTGGTTATTTGGTATACAATAATGACTTGTACAATGTGGACCTGCACAAAACTATTTGCAGATGATTTTAGATGATTCACTCAATATTTTATGAATTCTGTGAACAAAAAGTTCCTACATGATAAATAATAATCTGTAATTACCTGTGCTTATTATCTCTTTTTTTAAATAGAATGAATTAGGGATATTATTTTATAATAGCTTCATTTTTGATGTTCTCCAGCTACTCAGTCATTTCAGAATCTTCTACAGCTCTGCTCATCATTCTGGGCACACTGAACACTTTTTTATTTACAGCTACCAAGTGCCCTACTAATTATTTGAAAGCTGTGAAGATGCACAGATGGAGCATGTCAGAGTCATTTTATACATTTGTTTGCAAAACAACTGACTGCAAAAAATTGACTGAAACTTCTGAAGGGTAATGTAAATAACCAGAATACATATCCATAACCAGAATTTCTTTGGTTGGACCACTATTAAAGCTACTTTAGGCAGTCTAATCTTGAGCTAAAATGGATTCAAGGGAAAAGATTTAATCCTTTTTTTGTTACAATGTCATTTCCATTGTTTTCTGTCTGAACTGAACCTTGGCACAGAGGATTATGGGTAAATCCTAATGTGGGAGAGGGCAACGAAAGGAACAATGACAATAACATGCAGGAATGCAGTTTTAAAAGGTAGCAGAACTTTACAAAAATGATACTGTGGTGTGTTTTCTGTAGTGTGTCTGCTCCCCATTAAAAGACAATCCAAAAAATATATAACAAAAGAAAAAAAAAATCTATCCATCTACTGAAGCTTCTCTAAGAAGGAGTTTTTCAGGCGAGAAGCACAGTTACTCACCAGGACACAGAGAGAAAGAGGGGGAAAAGCAGGAGACAAAGCAGAGCAGTGATTATTACATCATAGCAAAGCACAATTAAGCACACATTTCTGCAAAAATAGATTAAAGCGATAGTTTGGCAATATGAATAATTACACTCTATACCCCCTTAGCCCAAATGTAGTCCATCAGACAAATCATGTTTGCTTCTTTAGCCAAGAACTACGAGGCTAATGTAGTAAAAAGTAATGGAATCCTATATCCTGTGCCTAAATGATCACACACTGGCCTCTTTTTGCCTATGTGGTTTGACACTGTACAGCATACTATGACCTATAAAACTTGACAGAAGTAAGGAAAGCAGCTAAAAGCATGATTTTTTTTTACCTATCACCTTGATGATATGGTCATCCCATAACCAAGCTAAAGTCTAATTCAAGTTGTAACAAGTTGTTGTACATTTGTGCAAAAGCCACCATATTCAGGTATGAGTTAGCCATCTAACATCTACAGACGCTAAAGCTGGCCATAAGTGGCGAGATTTTGTCAGCTGATTGGCTCTCCGCACGTCAGCATGTATGCACTTCCGTGCAGTGTGTTTTATTCGTCTTACGGGAAACTTCTGCAAGCAGTTACACACACTTCAAGCCGCAGGGGCATTGGGTGGAGGTGGGTTTGTTAAGGGGGCTAAGGCTCTCCCACTTTAAAGCAGATTTCTGCCAATGAAAATATTACAAAATGTAAAGTCGTCATGGGCAAAGTTCTCGCATCCTCATGACTTTTTTCCACCTTTAATAAATAAAAGAGAAAGACAAAGTTGCTAACATTGCAAATTTTCAGCAGACGCCATCACCATGGCAACATTTACAACATTTAAAGGCATTTCAACGGCAACACATATACAGCAGTAGATTGCTCCACTGTTTTTTAGTTGAGCTGTGGTAGCTTATATGGCCTACTTTGTGAGTACACTGATAGAAATAAAGGTTCTGTGCAGGTACATTTTTTGTTCATCAAGGTACAAACAATGTAAATGTGCCCTCAAAGGTACAACAAAGGTTTTAGGTCCAATTATGTGCCTTAAATGAGTTTTCCTAGGTAACAAATACATATTTGTATCTTTCATAACATAATGCTTTAAAAAAGAACAACAAAATAAAAAGCCTGGAGACAAGACGGGGTGTGTGGAGTCAGCACAACTTAGTAAAAATAATTTGAAAAGGATACTGGTACAATTTATGTTCCCTGACTAAAGGTCCCGTGATGTACGCTTGTGAGTACCAACCCATCTTTTTCCTGAGAGCATAGTACTACATGATAGTAGTAAAGAGAACAAAGTTTAATATTATGAAAAAGTGACAGGAACACTGCTATGTTCAAACATTCACCCTGGACATCTTCACCAAGTGCTGTAAAAGATAAGACTCTGGTTAATGAGCCTTCACACATTGTGGTATGCTGTCAGTAACTCCAAGAGCTAGTCAAAGTAAACAACCGAAAAATGTTCCCTTTGATTATGGCAATGGGCGGGTAACTTTCTTATGTTTTAGCTGCAATGAAGTTGGCGAGGTCTCTGAGCTCAAATGCTTGTTAGCTAGCCCCCTCAACCTGTAACCCAGCCCCCTTAAAATAACTCTGGCTATGCCACTGGCACACCATGACTGATACTTTCAGAGCCTTTCAGACTCTATGGCTGCATGCAGTGTGGTGGTCTTACCCCTCTTTTCCGAACTCTCCAAGACCCTCTCCCTCCTTTCCCAGACGGGACAGGTTCATCTTTGTTTCCAGAGTCATGAGAAACGACCCCTTATAAGAAATCTCCAAATCAAACCACAGCCCTGTGAGAGAGAGAGAGAGAGAGAGAGAGAGAGAGAGAGAGAGAGAGAGAGAGAGAGAGAGAGAGAGAGAGACACAAACACACAGTTATAGTTTTTCAAATGGAAAATGGGAAATTTCAAAAAATAAAGAAAGAATTAGAATAATAAATAAATAAATGACTGAAATTCCAGCAGCCCTAACATCTCCTGAAAGATCCCCCTGGTTTGTCTTATTTCTGATTATTTACAATTCTCCCTCAGTCCCCTCTCGCGCTCCCTCTGTGGGGGCTTCTCCACTGACGGATCACCGAATGAGTCTGAGCACAACAGGGGGTAGAATTAACTTTAACAAACTGATCTGATTCTCTGCAGCAAACAGTGGGGAGTGGAAAAGAGAAAAAGAGAGAGAGAGAGAGAGAGAGAGAGAGAGAGAGAGAGAGAGAGAGAATATTCCCGTCTTTGAGGAGGGAAAACAGCTGGAAATCTCGTGTTGATCCTCCTGGTGAACAGAGGGGGGTCTCAGTCAGCAGGGAGAGTAACGTCTGTGTGTGAGCAGATAGCTTTCATATTCAGCTTTGAGCAGTGTTTAGTCACTATCCATGTTATGATGTCATCTAACAGGGCTGCACACTACCCGCATTCGTCCACTAGAGGGCAGTTTGAAGGAAAGATGACTGTAGCACACCCAGTATAACCAACTGTTAGAGATGCTTCAGTAACACAAAGTACTGATGGCTTGGAAGAAGAATAAAGTAAAAGAAAGAAAATACTGTTTTTTCTTCATCTACAGTTTTCACATGTAAATATTCACTGTCTTTAGGACGTGTTATAAACATATTGTGTTCTTTATGTGTCTTCTAAATGTTTTGTAAAGTGTTTACATTCATTTCATTAAATGTTTTGTAAAGTGTTTACATTCATTTCATTGTAAGTAACTATCTGTCTGTGTCCATTCGTTCGTCCATCAATCCACCCATATCCATCTGTCTGTCCATCTATTCATCCATCCATGAATGGATGAATAGATGGATAATATCTTCTTATTAATCCATCCATCTATCTATCCATCTGTGCATATATATATATTGATCTATGTTCATCTGTCCGTCCATCCATCCATCTATGTATCAATCTCCCCATCACTGTTTATCCATTTATTTCTATTCATCAACCCATCTATCCTTCTGTGTCCATCTATCTTTCTGTCTGTGTATCAATCTTTCTCTGTTAATCTATCATCCATCTATATATTCATCTGTGTATCCATCTATCCCATCCATGTGTATCAGTCTCTCCATCTACACATCCATCAATCCATCTATCCACAGATAAAAATCCATCTATCCATATATCCATCTGTGCACATATCTGTCCATCAATATTTGTGTCTATTCATTCATCTATCCATCTATAAATGTAGCCATCAATCCATTTATATATCCATTTCCATCTGTGTGTACATATCTAGCCACCCATCCATCTGTCTGCATGTATCTAACCACCCATTCATCGACATATCTACCCATCAATCCATCCATTCATCTATCCATCCATGCACCTACCCATCAATCGATAAATCTGCATATCCGTCTATATATCTATCCATTCATCCACCCAGTCTCAGTCTCTTTTTACGTTCAGATCATGCACGAAGGCCAGGTGTGAATACCCAGAGGACGCCCTTTAATTTGATTACGATCGGGTCACTCAAACCACATTCAGCGATGCTCAGAGGCGAATCTTGACCACATTTATGCCTTACGATATCTGTATAAAACTACATAAATAAGTGGAAATGTGTCTGCGAAGTGCTGACTAGCAGGTGAAAACATGGACGACGTATGACGCTGAAGTTGCCCACAACAAGAGTCTTCTGCACTCTGGAGCAGTGAAAATGTCAAAGGCAAGCTTATAGATTTGTATAGTAATGGAGAATAAAGTAAATGTAAAACAGAAACAACACATGCTGACATGCTTTTCTCACAGGGAAAGCAAAATCAGTTCTCATCTGGTCAAACCGGGGATGCATTTAAGTGAAAAGCGGAAATGAGGCCAAAGTAGATCCAGATAGATCCGAACATGAAAGCCACGTTATGCAAGGTGCAAACAGGCTTTTAAAGCCACTGAAACAGCTACGCTTGAGAGAAAAAGCTTCAGTGTATCAAGCCCCACATGCGCTGCTAGGCACTTTTTCTTTGATTCTTTGTCCATTAGTTTGTTGTGGTTCTCCATGACAGCCTGATTCAATAAAAGCTGAAGTGTTTTCTGTCTCACCACTGCCGCTGCTGCTGTTATTGTCTTTTCCTCGTTTTCCCCCAGCCTGAGCAGTCACACTGGGATGTGGTTTTGCAACAGTATTAGTCAGTCAGAAAGAGAAGGCCAAGCAGAGGTCACAAGACAACACCAACACATCTGACCACGCACCAAACAGGGCTGATACAACAGCCTGTTTTGTAATGGAGAAGTGTGAGTGTGATAGTGAGGCAGACAGAAAGAGAGAGTCTGAATCACAGAATGACTGTCAGTGTTCCTGACTGTGTGCAACTGGGTCTTAAAGCCACTGTAACAAATACAAAATATAAACTAAATGCAAAATATAGATTCTATATTCTTGCTTTAAACATTTTCAATAATATTTACCTGAATATGAACTTTGCCTTGTCATCAGAAAGTGTATGACACAGATCAGATGACACACATGCACGTGCACACAAAAATGATATGATCCCTGTTAGCACACTGCACGGTCACTGGTCATTTTTAATTTTTTTGACACCATTTGGGGAAGAGAAAAACATCAGCTTCTTTTTACTGCCTTTTTATAAGAGCAAGAAAAAATAACTTCAATGTAAGTTAATGCAACAAGATTTTATTCCAAGTAATTTTGGTCTATTTCTGTTGGTCCGTTCATCATGAGACGTTCAGGGCGAAAGGGCAGCTGGCATTTTATATAGCTTTAAAAAAGGGAGTAATGAAGTTTAGATATAACAGCAAAAATATATGCATAAGCACACACACTACTGATAACTGCTCTGTCTCTATCTCTTTCTCTCTCCTCCCCTCTTCACTCATTCTCTTTCCCTCTCCACTCTCTCTCTCTCTCTCTCTCTCTCCACTCACTATCCCTACTTGCTCCTTCCGTTTCTACTCTCCCCCCTCAACTCTTATGCTCTCTCCCTCTTGCTCCCTTTATCCATACATCTCCTTCCTTCTCTCTTTGCCACTTGTTCTCTTTCTCCCTACATGTCCCCCTTTTCTCTCTCTCTCTCTCTTTCTCCTCTCTCCCCCTCTACTCTTATTCTCTCTCTCCCTCTGCCTCTTGCTCTCTTTTTCCCTATATCTCCCCCTTGACTCTCTCTCTACTCTACCCCTCTACTCTTATTCTCTCTCCCCCTCTGCCTCTTGCTCTCTTTTTCCCTATATCTCCCCCTTGACTCTCTCTCTACTCTACCACTCTACTCTTATTCTCTCTCTCCCTCTGCCTCTTGCTTTGTTTCTCCCTACATCTCCCTCTCTCACTCTGTATCTCTCTATGCCACTTGTTCTCTTCTTCTCCTTATATCTCCCTCCCTCTTTCTCTCTGTCCCTCATGCTCTTTCCTTCTCCCTATATGCCCCTTCCCTCTTGCTCTCTCCTTTTCCCTACAAGCCCCCCATCTCCTTCTCCATACTCCCCCTTTCCCTCCTCTCCCTCTCTTTTATCCAGTATTCTTTTCAGTACTGACGTCTCCTTCAAACTGACTGTTTTGGAGAAAAATACTAAGCCTTGGTGAAGAGAGAGAGCTTTTCCTTTTCACCACTCAACCCCCCAGACACTGTGTAGTGTTTCAATGCTAACCACTCTCTGCAGAAATGCTGTTTACAGCAGGTTATAAATAATCCCCACTCAGCTCACCTTGATGGTCCACCGAGGGCTGAGAGGCCCAGAGGATTCTGGGAGTGCACACACCCATGTCCAGCTCCGTCAGAGTCAGCTCGTTCATGAAGTAAGGCAACTGCAGAACACAATAAAATCATTGGTAAAGTTTTAAACATACTGTTTACTCTTCATCCCATACAGTACATATATGGAAACTAAGCTGCAAGAGCAGCCTGTTTCCAACAAATTGCTTTTGCGACATCACAAAAAAAACACATTCACACGCTGAAGTTACAATGAATGTTTCAGTTATAATGAATGCCCTGCTTTTTAGACACAACACAGGACAGCCAATCAAAAAACAGATCATTTACATATATCAGTCTTGAAGGCACAGTAACAAAAGCAGCCTCTTTAATTCTAAAAAGGATACAGAGAGGTTGGAAAATGGTCTTGTAAAAATTCATTATGGCTTTTTCGTTACATAAAACTACAGAATTGTTATAAAAGGGCCTCAGTTTGAAATTTTAAAAAGCAAGGAAAATGTAATATATGGGCATTTAAATGTCTAAAAAGTTTGAGTCAATCACAAATAGAGTTGCCTATGCAGTTTCTGACACTGCATGAAAAACTCTTATCTGTAAAAATGGACAAATGCACAGACAATAGTAATACATAATATGTCAGAACCAGATAATAAAGTTTATTAGAGATACTGAACAACTCAACACAGTTTGAGGCGAGTGAGTGTCCATGTAGCACCATGCTAATTGATAACTATAAGCTTCCATTACTTGTTAGCCTCATTAGCCTCGTATTTCCAATGAAAAACAGCAAATTTTGGAACTATGTTTTGGCCAATCGACTACATCTGGGCTGAAGGGATAATTGAGTAAATCAGATTTTTTAAACTACTGCTTGCCTGCTTTGAACTCTATAGTATTATCGGCTTTAAACCTCACTGCAGGCCTCTTCAAAGACTATATTTGTACTTTGGCCCCTCTAGCATTCTGAATCAATACAATGAGCCAGTAAAGGACTTTTTGACTGGATGAGTACTAGCTAATGCACACTGGTTAGTCAGAAACTCCTCCAGAAGCTATACAAACAGAAGATAAGACAATACATACTACGTGAAATAAAGATCAGAAGCAGCTAACCTGGTTTAGGCTCATGCTTCTACTCCAGAGGGCCTAAATAAGATAGCACTGTCACTGACATTTACTTTCTCACTACCTTTTTGTACAAGGCTGGGAACAAACCACAGAATTTTAGCGGCAAGTTGCGTATTCCAAAATTAGCAATTGGCAACTACTATGGAAAACGGGAGAAAAAACTAATTTGAGATAAGGATGAGCTGAGGCAAATGATGGCAGCTTTGAAGGGAAAAATCTGTGTAAACAGCAGACACAACTTCTGATAAGAGGCTCTGCAGTGCTTTCATAGAAACAGCATCTATTAAATCTTAAATATGATTCTATTGTCTGTGGTCCTTCTCTCCAACCACATCAATCATGAATCCTAAGCATACCTACATGGCACAGCTGAGGACGGTTACTTTCACATTTTTTCAAAATTACTGCATAATCAAGTGGTTAAGATGTAAACAGAGTCATTCAGAATGGTTTGGTGTGAAGTACTTTGTTCTAGAGCAATTGACACACCAGAATTGTTCACAGTGGTTGTGATAGGAACCAGACATCCACCTCTAAAAGCTGCCTCGCAGAAAGTTATTATATGAAATGGTTACAAATATGCTGTCTGGAGCCTTAGATATTGTTTTGAGGAGATTTTTTTTTAAAAATACATTCATATTGGAGAGGTACACCGTGAGGCAAAATAGTCCTGAAACAAAACAGATTTTTTAGATTTATCACAGTTTTACCATCATCAACAGTACATATATAAACGTAACCTAGTAAATAAATTGGCTATATTTGTGTTGTAGACATCATGACTTCTGGTTCCTATCACCACCACTGAGAGATCAGAGACAGTAAGTTTTTGTACAATACACATTTTCATATGAAACCACTCTGATTTACTTTGTTTACATCTCAACAATTGAATTATACAGTAATTAGTGGCTCAACTCTGTTGGCTCATATTTGTGTTTGTAACTGACCCATATCTGGCATTAGTGTCCTCTGGAAGGACTTGCATGGGTACATTTTATCAAGTTACAGCAACTGCTGACTCACTGTGCACAACAGATGGACCGTGCATGGACAGTGAAGTGTGATGTTTTAAAAAAGATACAAACAATAAAACAAACATATATAAATAAATTGAATTCCAATCTGACCATTTTCATTATGGTCGTATTACCACATTTTAAATCTAATCTAGGCCTGCATATGAAAACAGCTCAAGTCTGATTTGAAATTATAAGCTCTGGATAAATTAATATATGAACTGTGCCGCTTCAACTCTGTAACATTAACATGGTTATGTAGTTTAAGGCAAACCTAAAATACTCACCCTGATTTTACTAAGCTTCATCTGGATCTTCTTGGACACCCAGTCAGCCCAGTGCTGCTCTCTGAGGAAATCCCACGCAATCCGACCAATCAGAGCATTTACCCAGCAAACAGGTCCCTCCTCTTTTACTGGGTCGTTTGGCAACTGATTGAAAAACAGTAAACGGGATCATTACTTTTCAATGTGTTTGGACACACATGATCACTTACTGATTATCTTATGTTTTAAGTAAACAGCACATTCCCACACTCATACACATAAATGCAAACAAACTACAAGTATACACTCTCATGAACTTACACAGGCAACTCCACACTTACAGTACAGTGCCAAAGTCAGAGGCCACCCGTCATGCATTTCATTCCCTGTAGGTATAATTTATTTATTTTTCAAGAGAGATTTTAAAGAGAGCAGATACTGATGCAAAAGTTTTAGCACGCCTGGTAAAATTCTATGTTTCTGTTGATTTTCTAAGTGAAAATAAGTTAACAACCTCTACACTTTTTACACACTTTGTTATGTTTCATTTCCACTTTGTAATGTTCCGTTATTTTCCCCAACATGTTCAATTTAGCTAAATAACTAGAGATTGTGCTCCAGAACGTGCAGACAACTGCTATATTCAAGTTTAATAAGGATGTGTCATATAAGATAACGTGCAAAAGGAAGGGGGAAAAAAAACAAGTTTCCAAAACTGGAGGTCAAAAAATGATTAAATTCTACAGAGAAAATGGGACTCCTAACAGCCACCTGCCAGACCTGGTAGACCACCACAACTGTCCCCATCAGATAAACAGCACTAAAAAAAAGAAGCTGTGAGAAACTAGAGTTCAGACATTGCGTAAAATAAAATGGGACTCCTAACAACCACCTGCCAGACCTGGTAGACCATCAGATAAACAGAACTTAAAGCTTTCATCTTTGAGAGAGAGGAGAAAATCAAGCTGCTTCAGAACTAAAAAAAATCCATAGCCATCCTTCCACTGTGAGAAGACAACTCAGCGCTATGGGTCTGAAAGGATGTGTAGCTGTCAAGAAGCCCTCACTGAGAAACAGTGATAGACACATCAAACAAAGAAGCTGCTGGTTCTCAGACTGAACTTTGGAGGTGTGGAAAAACACATTCCTGCAGATTTCTTTGAAAAACTGAAAGCAAGTCTCCTGAAAAGAATAGAAGTTGTTGAGTTTTCTGTGTAACTTTCTGTGAAATATGTTTTCTATTTTTTGTCCTGACAATAAAATGAATAACTTGTACTCAACTCAAAACTCAAAGGGAGCTTTCTGACTTTTGTATTGAACTGTATACACTAAATCAAACAATTTTATTTTACTATCCTATTTATACGTGTACATTACCTTTTTGGCCACCCCAGGGCTGCTTTGAGGGCTCTCTCCCGGGCTGGCAGCCCGGCTACATGCTGCAGAGGAGTTAATGTAGTTGGCCATGTAGGTGCTGTACTCCAGCAGAGGCTTTAGTTTGGCACTCCCACAAGTCTCTCTTTTAGAAGCCTGAGAGGACAGTAGCTCATCCAGACTGCTCCTGCTGCTGCTGCGGCTGTGGGACAGCACCGGAGCTGCACACAAAAACTTTCTATTATTAGTTACAGCAAGCAGCACTACCTCATGTAATTTCCAATAGGAGTAAAAGACCAACATTGGAGCCACACAGACGCTTTTTAATCAGCTACAGCAAGCGGCATTATAAATAATTACATGAAATATAATTCTCCAAAAGTAATCAATCAGTCCAGACATGTTTGGTGTCTGAAATTTGCTTCTTTAGTTTTGCACACTGGAGCTACATGGCCTAATGATCTACTGGAAGAGTCAAGTTGTTAGAAGGTATTTGACACTGCATGACACATTGTTATCTATAAAAATGGATAAAAGTATATTGCACCACTAAAAACAGTAGCAGCAAATCATGCTGAAGAAGAATTCAAAAGAATGCTGACTGTACTTTATAGAGAACAGCAGTGGTGAACTGTCTAATAGAGCGAGGCTTTCAGTTTGTGCCACAAATGTCAAAATGAGGCAAATAAATAAATAAATAAATAAATAAATATATGGTAATGCTTATTTCTGCTATTGCCCTTCAGGATTTTAATAGCATGTTAATTGCAAGCTAATGGCAATTCACATGAACATTTTTGTGTTAAATCCAACGTTTTGGAAATGTGACTGCTAAATTAAAACATGACTGGTTGATTCCACTGTCACTTCATATTTATGTTAGCGGTTAATCTGAAACATAAGTCCTAACCAATTTGAGCCCTCTCTTGGCTGTATTTGCTTAGACACTACAGAGAAAAGCAAAACCTGAATGAAGGACTTTTTGGTTGGGTGTTTAACTTGTGTTTCCTAACAAAACTTAACAATGAAATAAGAGAATCACTGTAATACCTGCAGAGTTTAAAGCTAAACTATGTAAGTTTTGGGAATTTGGAGACCACTCTGGTGGAAATGTGTAATTGCATGCAATGTGTGAAAAACATGTTGTACAGTGGGTTACGCTTTGTTCCCCTTCCCTGAGTGGATGAATCTGATGATTGAGAGTGCATTGAAAGCGAATTCAAAGAGAACTCAAGTCAAAACTTGGTGAAGGGTGTGTCTTCCGAGAATATAAGTGAACCATCTACTATTGTCATCTTCATTTGAGTCCTGAACATTGAGCCAGGCCTTCTTTTTTTTAAGCCTGAGGGTGTGAAATTAATACATAAAGAGCTATGATGTGGTCTGAAAAACTCCTGTGAAATTCAACCTAACACCTCTGCTTTAAATTCTTATTTCAGGCTTTACAGGGTGATGGGCAGCTCATATTAATGCTACTTAATGCTTAGTTAAAACTGAGTAATGCTTACTCAATTTTAACCAATTTTAATTTAGTGCAGCTTTAAATACAAAAAGCATAGTGAAAAAATGAACTAAAAAAGTATGTATTTTTATTTTTCACCAAAATCATTAGGGCATCTCAGAGGGCCTAGAAAGCCCTGGGGTTTCTCAACTGGATAACAGTGTGTCATACAGCCTTACATAAGCATGTCTACTTGAGATTACTTAACAATTTGACACAGCTGCAAGTTTGCCTAATGCAAACCTGGTGGCTATAGGCTTGTAATCTACTTTAGTCTTGTAGCTCCAGGGCAAAACTAAATAAGCAAACATCAGCAAATACATTTTGGCTAATCAACTACATTTGGGGTAACAGGATATCTGTATGTCACCAAAATCTCTCACACTCACCGCTCCTGCTAACAGGCAGGCTTGCTGTCTTCTTGGCTGTTTCGGATTTAAGTTTTGAGGCTAGCAGAATTCTTCGGAACCACTCTTCCTTCTCTCTTCCTGTTCTTCCAAAGAGGTACACAGTGGGCGGCTCTCTGTCCAAACCTGCTCTGCCGCCGTCCTGTGAGTTCATAGAGGAGGCCCTTCTGGGCTCTACAGTGATGTCTGCATTTTCCTTCTCTTCAGAAGCTCTGTCTCCTTCTGCTTTGGACATGAAGTCATCCTGCTTTGCCAGCTCGATGCATATAGGGTACTTTTTGTTCCACACACGTTTTCTGGCAAGACCCGGGGGCACCAGGGAAACCTGGACAGGGCAGCAGCATCAGATCAAATCACATTAGGCATCAGGAGCAAGGCAGAACAATGCCCAGGGCAATGGCTTTGGTTCATTTTGTGTACAGTAAAGAACATGGTGTCCAGGTCATTTACTCAAACAGAACACAGCAAACTAAACCATCCAGCGCAGCACTCAGTAACTGCCGCGTCAAATGTCAAATCAGTAGCCAAAAAGCCAACCAATCGGCGCTTAGCAGCTGTAACGTCAACCAATCAGCACTCAGCAGTCGTAACGTCAACCAAATCAGTACTTAGTATCCATAAAGACAAACAATCAGCACTTAGTAGCCAAAAAGCCAATCAATCAGCACTCAGCAGCTGTAACATCAACCAGTCAGCACTCAGCAGCTGTAACGTCAACCAGTCAGCACTCAGCAGCTGTAACGTCAACCAATCAGCGCTCAGTAGCCATAAAGCCAACCAATCAGCACTTAGTAGCGATAAAGCCAACCAATCGGCACTCAGCAGCTGTAATGTCAACCAATCAGCACTCAGGAGCTGTAACGTCAACAAATCAGCACTCAGCAGCTGTAATGTCAACCAATCAGCACTTAGAAGCCATAAATCCAATCAGCACTTAGTAGCTGTAACACCAACCAATCAACATTCAGTAGCCACAAAGCTAACCAATCAGCACTTAGTAGCTGTAACATCACCCAATCAGCACTCAGCAGCCATAAAACAAACAATCAGCACTAAGTAGGTGTAACAAAAACCAATCAGCACTAATCACCAGCCGTTTTCATTTCCTTTTCTTTTTTTTTTCTTTTTAACAATTTTTTTTATCTGTTGAGCTGGACCCTCTACCTTCACTCCCTGAGAACTCGTTCGGGAGCCCCCCGTAGCACTTTGCTCCTGCCCTTTGTGAACAAGACTGGACACCCCTACATTAGCCTAATATTTTAATATATTCATTAATTATAAAAATTAGTTGCATCTGTACCAAACACGTACCTTGCTGTCTGTCAGATCGTAGATTTTCTGGCTGATGTAGGTGGCGTCCCATTTGGGCTCGTTGTAGCTCGCCCGGCGGGTGATGTTTTTATTGGGTTTGGAGATTCGCAGAGTCGAGCCGTCCAAGCGCACAAACACCGAGTGAGTCAGGGTTGCGTGGTACGTCTCAGGGTCATAGTTATAAATCTCATTCATCCAACCCTGCAGGCAGCAAAGATAAGCAAACTGAATGATTCATGTTGCACAGTTACACACCCAACGATTAGATGACATGAATAAAAAAAGTAGATATGGAATTGTTTTGTTAATCCCTTGTTTAGGCTATTTATGAAAGGACTACATACTGGTCTATATTTTTTAGCTTATATTACACAACATAGTCCTTATACTAATGCTTCTGTGTATATGCGGTCATTCCAACACACTGGAATACACTTCGTGAAGTGTGAGGGGTGATAAGACTTCTATTATCTCAAGGCACTATTAAAAAAAAGAAATCACATTTCAAAAACTGAAACTCTTAATAGTGGCAAAGAGAGCAGACTCAAAGTTATAATAGTTAGATTTAGAACTGCAGCAAATATTCGGATAAAACTTGATAACTTACATTTAAACTAAAAAAATCAAAATGAATTAATTTAAAAAATCAGAATTAATATTCTAAAACATAAATGCAATGCATAAACCTCTTCAGTCAGTGCTGATATCTTGGTGGTAGTCAGAGGTCAGGCTGTCAGGACTCTGTCCATAACTGTCTGTATTAGAGCTCTAAGTTGAGGTCAGTTTTAACTGCTACTCTTCCTTCTGCTCTGGGTTGCCAGCTAACATGCTCTCCACTGTATTTATTTCTGAGAATAAATGACAGCATACTGGTGAGCGAACCATCCGTCAAGAGCAAGAAATAAACTTATCCAAACTGCACTAGGTGAGCTTAGAGTTTGCTTGGTTATAAGGGTTATAAGGATTTTGAACAGCTGAGTTAACCAAAAAGCTGTTATCAGCTTTTAAGACAATGTGGTTAAGAGGATGACGTTTTATCTGCTCTGGTGTAGCGCTCATCACTGACACCCTCAAACAGCCTCAGCAACCTGCTCAGTGTTGCCAGATTGAGCGGGATGCCCTGAAATAGCATTTTCTGCTACTTGCTGATGACAGTAATTGTTTATCATTGATGTTTTTCCTTGTACTTCAAGTTTCCTAAATAAATAAGTAAACTTCTTTCAATCAAAGTGAAATACCTATCTTGAACTTTCCTTATTCTTACAGAATTTTGAAATATTCAAGATAATATTCGATATAATCTTGGAAAATTCAAAATATTTGATAATTGCAGCCCTCGTTACATAACAGTGATGTAACAATATAAAACACTATTGTAATCACAGTATATCACATCGTACCTTTGCATTGCGACTAGCTAGTGAGTTAGTTCTAGGCTAACGTACTAGCTTGTGGATAGAGCATTAGATCGAGACACTAACACACAGTTGAAATACGTGTTAGTTGCAGCCCTACAGCCAATCAAATTAAAACAAATATGTGTCATTTTTTAAATGAAACCTTAATTTATAACCACAAGCATTCAGGCACCAGGAGGATCCAGATTGAGAGTTCTCTTACAGCTGAGTAACTCAAAACCAAAGCCAGCACTGCCCAATAGAAACATATCCTATACATCTGCTTGTACTGTCTTGATGCCATCTGAAGAAGTGATAAACATTACTTCAAAAATACCCACACCTTCCGAATATTTATGCTTCAAACCTCAGCAAGTTTTCCATGCATCTGTTGCATCATGGTACACACTCATCCCATCCTTCTGCAGGTGTAAAGGCCTGTTATTCCAGCACTAGTCAATGATCTAGTGCAGATGGTACTTTGCCTAATATTCACTTTGTTTGTAATGGCCATATTAAAAGCAGTGTTGAATGTGGCAGCCTGTCACCATGTTCTCTTTGCACTGTTTGAGGTGATTCTAAACCAGATATAAACAATATAAACATATATTTCTCTGGAAGACGTCTACACCATGTGACAAAACTTTTAAAGAGGCTAGTTCTGCAGAGACAATGTCGCTGACCTTGAACTCTGCATAATCTAAATAAAAACCTAGCAGCGGCTCTGGAAAAACCAGTAAGGACACATTTCCTGCATTTTTTTCATATTTATAAAGGACAATGAGTCAACATGTTTACAGTAAAACCACTTCTCTTCGAATGAACTACCAACCACGACATGTCTCAAAACCACTAAAGTTGACCTAATTTAACTCTAGAAGACAATTCAGGTTAATGCAGGCTGAAGCAATGCTCTAATCATTTTATATCATTGTTATGCTTTTTTTGTTTTAATGCGGTGCCCTAAGCAGTTCGTCCTGGCAGCATTTCAACTAGCTAAACATAAGCATCATACAATATTTGTATATTTTTATGGTGAAGATGGATTCGATAAAAGTGGGGAGAAAAATAAGCCATTGTGTGTCCAGCCTGAGGCCATGTCATGACAAAATGAGGGCAACATGTGCTTCATCAGAGGCCTACCAGTAGAGTAAAAGAATAAAACAAACAACAAACACCAACAGCAGCAGCATCAGATGTAAAACTCAGCAAACTTACAGGCAACCAGCAGATATAAATAGTGCATGCTTGTGTAAATATAAAGCACAGTAAACATTAAAAACCAGATCAAAGATCATTAAAAAGTATAAATGGTGAACAGACTCTGACAATACTTTGTCCATCCAGTATGGCTATGTGTACTTCATATCAAGCATCTCCTTAACTGTGCTTAACATTGCTTATGGTCAAAATCCTCCATCACACCCTGGTGCAACAGCAGAGAATGACCCCATTTGGCTAATAAGAATTACATGGGGCCTTGTTCTGTCACGAGCACAGGCTTATCTTTGATGGATGGCTTAAAAATGGCCTAGAGGTCAGCACAATTTGGAGACATATGTTTATGATTGACTCAAGAAATGCACAATATGAAGGTATATGCTGTATTACACCCCACCCTAACCCTCTAAGAGTTCTTCTATTAGTCAGTCAGGTTTCTGGGGAAGCCCATTTCTACCTCAGAAAGGCGAGGGGAGACAAAAAACAAAAAAAACTAAAAAACTTTTCCCCTCTTTCTTAGTTTCTGATGACAGTATAGTTCATAAAATATTGCCTTAATACCTTAACTACACTTTTCTTTACAACTTTTGAGATACTATATTAAAACAGTGACTCATTACATTTTTAAAGAAAGTTATTATTTCAGGATAATAAGTAATCATTATTACATCCTGAATAATTGTTTTGACATGGCAAGTCCTTAATTCAACATAGTGAAGTAATATTTTGCAAAAATAGTATGTCAAAATAATATCTTAAGTAAATATTTGACAAAATAAGTCATTATTTTGAGATATTAAGTTAACATTTTGAGACAATAAGTCATTATTTTGAAACAATAAGTCATTATTTTGAGATATGAAGTCAATATTTTGAGACAATATATCACTATTTTGACATACTAAGTCAATATTTTGAGATACTGAGTCAATATTTCAAAAAGATAAGTCATTATTTTGAGTTACTAAGTCACTAGATGAATGAATGAGTAGTCCAGGGCATACACAGAGTTGAGGATCGATACACACTGTGGATGATAACAGTGGCCCTCAAAGGTCATCAAAAGGCAGAGACTGTCTTCAGGAAAAAGGTATTTCACAAAGGGAACGTTATCTTGTAGTGCATAAATCAAATGACGCTTAAGGACAAAAAACCTATTGCATTTTACCTGTTCAGTAGAACATTTAAGACTTACCTTAAATATTCCTGGCTCTTTGATATCCAAATGCTCTAAGTTACATAGCTGCCTCTGGTGTCTTGCAAATCTAGCTGTAATTCCAGCTCTCTTTGGGCCTGTTAGCCACACTACACCAATGGCGAGCATGAACCCTAATGCTACACCCAGCAGCATTCCACCAAAGTAGGTGGGCAAAGGTAGAACAAAGTATCCGTAGACAAGGACTGTCAGAGCAAACAAAGTCTTGTGTGGAATACTAGGTGCGGTTTCAAAGTCCACCTCATCCTCTCCAAAAGTGTTCATGCTCTGACTAGCAGGCACGCAAACACTACTTCTAAATTTAGAGTCCTCAGTATGGTCAACTTCCAACTCTGTTTCCGGACAAAGTTCAAAGTCTTCACTATAAAGCTCACAGAACTCTTCATCCTCTTGCTTGGCCAGTGCTGACATGGAGCACATGTCCAATCCCAAAGACGATGGAGAAGGTTTGACAGTCTTGCTTTCAACAGCTGAGACCTGCTCAGTTGCACCTTGGGTTGTGCAATCGCCTTCCAGATCGCCTTCCTCTTCCTTGATGCTGTAGTTGTTGTTACTCTCCAAATGACCATTTAGGGCAGAGAGATTTGCTGACTCTGAGGCACTGGAAGAAAGGGGTTTAGGCCTGTAGATGTTGGAAGCCTCGTCTCCGATGAACTTGCTGATCAACTGCAAAGGATCAGAAATTACTTCTGAAAGACGCCGCTTGGTATCCTCGATGCGTGCCTCAACCTCTGAAACCTTGAAAGAGAAGGGCCGGTTGTCAGGTGAGGTTAACGGAGAAGATGGGGCAGTTTTGGAATCTCCCGCAGTTGTGGTGGTGGTGGTCCGAGGTTGAGTGAACTGCTTGAACATCTGTAGGTTGAGGCGGGAATCTGAAGAGCGGCTGGATCCTGCAGGATCCTGGGCAGTGTCCGTGGACAACGACTTAACCAGATTCTTGACAAGTTGCCGATGGCGTAAGGAAGGTGCAGGGATGCCTTCCCGAGGTTCCACATCTGTAGACAGAGACTTCATGAGGTTAAGAAAGGCCTTGTCCATTGAGGGAAGGGATACAGATTTTGAAGGGGAAGAAGTGGTGGAACCAGATGAGGGTCCAGGCCCCTTCTTAGCCTCAGCAAGGGCTGAAGCAGTAGCAGTGAAATTGTGATCCAGGCTGTTAGTGTTTTGTTGACCAGACATGGTTGAAAGCACACTGGTCTCAACGGGAAGTACAGCAACATTATTAACAGATTTTGCTTCAGATTCTCCCTCAAGAACAAGGTCTTCACTTGCTTCCAAAGCTGTTACAATTCCTTGACTATTTGCCATTGCTTCACTGGGTGAGTCTGAGGTGCCCGCTCCATATAGCTCTTCTTCATCGTCTTCTTCCTCCTTGCCCAGTGCAGAGAAATGGATGGTGATGGTCTCTCGGGACTGGGAACGCTGCACATGCAGTTTAGAAGCAGAGGATGGCCTGAAGGCCGGGAGCGGAGTTCGATCAACATGGCCACCCTGCCTGCTAGTCATTACGCTGCTCCAGTTGTCTCAGAGCCTAGAAAGAAAAGAAAGACAAAAAAGGTATTACGCTGCATTCAACTTATGCTTGTGAGAATTTCCCACCTCCGACGAGAAAAAAAATAAAAAAAAATGTCCACTCAGCTAGGAATTCCTAATGGGAAAGTCGTGATGATGTTCTCGACTCCTAGCTCTGCACAGGATGTCCAATCAACAAGACTGTTCGCACAAAAGTAAAAAAAATACCCTTCTCTACTTTTAAATGATATTTGCTTTAGATCAGTCAACAAATAGTCATAGTAATTGGTTAAATCTGAATCACTGATCATAAAAGTCACATCATGAACATTAAAGTTATCACTTATTTCACTAATGTTCCATGTTTTCCCGCCTTTATGTAGCTCCAGCATGCTGAGATAAAATAAATTACGCAATTCTGAGCTCCAATTTCCCCATTTCTGAGCAACATCAAATGTAGCACTAGAGTGGCTTAAAGGAATGGATTCGAAAAACACAAAAACAAAAACAATGTTACACTTGCCCCAGATGTAGTCAACTAGCTAGACATGTCTGTTGTCCAAATTTTGCATCTTTAGCACTGGAGCTAACTATGCAGTCACCCAAATCTTTTCCATAATTACATCCCCAAAACTTCTCTCAACCTGTTCAAATTACATCCAGGTCTTCAATAGGGTCAAGCAGACTTGTCAACGTGATGAACTATAAAAATGAACAAAACTTTGTAGCTGAATGCTATTTTAAAGAATAGATGTTCTGCAAAAGACAGAATCACAGTAAGTCATACTGCGTCCAAACCACATCAACAAGTGTGCATGATCTTAACCTTGATGAGTAGGTTGAGAGAAGTTCTGGAGATGTGTTAACATTACAAAAAAAAAATGGGTGACTATAGACTAATGTTTACTTCTAAAGTGGCCTTTTACTTCTAAAGTGGCCTTTTAGCTCTAGTGCTATGGAAGCAAAATTTCGACACCGAACATGTCTTGGCTGATTGACTGCAACTTGATCAGACACAAAACTGGTTATTTAGAAAAACAGCGCAGATTTCTTCATCCAAAAAGCACTTCTACCTATACTATTGTATGAAAAGCTGCATGTTCCAATAAAGCCAATCATCCTTACAGAGCCACTCAAGAAGCACCGCCTCTTCTTACAGTCACTCCTGATTGCTAATAATAAACCGGCATCCGTTTATTGATCCGGAGTGCACTGGATGGCAACCTTCAGATCATATTGCACTGAAATACATCCCGAGATGAAATTCCGATGTTTTGCAATGAGGCAATGGCTCAGTTTTTACTGTGTAGGTCTGTGACTCAGGACAAATGGTTGTTTATGAGTGTGTTTTTTTTTCTTCTTCTTTTTTTTTTGAGTCACAAGCTGTAATTTCCAGAGTGACGCTGTGACCTCGGCCTTCCAATCATCTTCCCACGCAAGAAGATCCCACACACTTTAAACTTTGCTAATGGCAACCGCTCTGCTCAACTCCTATGAGCCACACATGCCCAATATAGAACATAAAGACAGTCTGTTTTGAGTTTGTTTCTACTGCATCTTTCTGTTTTGCACTTAGGTAAAGCTCTCAGCGGTAAGGATGACGCCAGAGTCTTGCTATAAAAAGACAACAGGGGCAAAGGGTTCAAAGAAAAATGCAAAGAAACACACACACACACAAAAAAAGTTCACAGTGATTACATTAAAATGCAGCTACTTAAGAGAGACAAAGACAACAGAGGCTTATTTTTTCCTGTTTCCCCCCTAACTGAAGTGAAGCAAGGCACAGTGCCATGAAAAAGTATTTGCCCCCTGCTGATTGCTTCTTTTTTTTCAAATTCGTCACACTTCAAAGTTTTCTCTGAGGACTACTTTGCCTCACAACATCCAAGATGTATCTCTCCACCATAATAACTTTAAAATACATAAGATTTGGGCCAAAAAAACCTTTTAAAAACTCATCATAAAAAAATAAAACAACGTCTCAGGCATCAGGCAACATCCTCCTATTCATTTCAGGCGGTAACTTTCTGTGAGGGAGCTTTTAGGGACGTTAAACTCTTCAGACGTCTGGTTCCCATCACCACCACTGTAAACAATTCTGACTTAGTACGTTTCTACAAAATGGAGCATCTCACACCAGACTTCTCTGAATGACTTTGTATCTTAACCAATTAATTAGGAAGAAAAAAATGGTGGAATCTGAGTCTGAGTCAACACAAAATACAGTTTAAGCTGCAAATCTTCTTAATTTACTGAAGGAAAAAAGTTATCCAACACCAACTGGACCTTGATGAAAAAAGTAAATAACCCCCACACTTAAAAACTGGTTGTGCCACCTTTAGCAACAACACCTGCAAATCAACACTTTATAGAACTGAAGATCAGTCTTTCACATTGTGGTGGAGGAATTGTGGTCCACTCTTCTTTGCAGAATTGCTTTGATTCAGCCACATTGGAGGGCTTCTGAGCAAGCCTGGCAGTAATGATGGTTTGTCTAGTCCAGAGGTCAGCAACCCAAATCTTAAGAAGAGCCATGTTGTCCATTTAATGTCGAATTTTACCATCTTGGCTGTAAATATGTCTCAGTATGTGCTGATGTGTTAGTATAGGCCAAAAAATATAATATAAACAACAACACAGACTTAGTTTGCTCTGCTTTAAGCCTTAGCTCAGTTATTGCTGCTTTTCTCACATCTCCATCAGGAAACTTTTAATCAAATGTAGAACAGTTTCTTTTACAATGTCTCTTGCCATTAGACGTTTCACGAGGCTGAAGCCAGCTTCTTATTTACCAGCTTCTTATTTACCAGCTTCTTATTTGCCAGCTTCTTGTTCAAATTTTTCCGTTCCACCTCCAGACTGTAACCGCTGTGCCATTTAAAGGCGGAACTGGAAAGTTCGAACGAAAAGCTGGAGAACAAAAAGCTGACTTCAGCTTTGCCACTTTTTAGAGTTTGACAGTTTCTTGATGCAGATTAAATGTATCAGGAAACCAGCTTATAAACACAAATAAGTCCATTCTTCTTCTGCTTGTCTTAAATCTTTCTCTTTGCCTTTTCATTAGCTACTAGCTAGGCAAAACTATTGTCTGTTGCTATGGTGACAAATCTTCAGGGTTAAAGGTTGGTAAATTAGCAGTTATAAGCTATATTAACTTTATATTGTTAAAACTGTGTTAGAACGATCAGCAGAGCTTTATTTTACCGTAAAAGAGGATTATTTTATTTTTACCTAAAAATCTTATTCTGCTGTGGAGCCGCAACAGGGCAGTAAAAGAGCCGCATGCTGCCGACCCCTGGTCCGGTCTAAGTGATGTCGACTATGAATTAAATTTGGTTAACTGTTTGATTGACTAATGGGGGCCATTACTTTTTCACCCAGGACCAGCTGGTGTTGGATAACAGTTTTCCTTCAATAAATGAAATGAAAATCATTTTAAAATTGTATTTTGTGTTTACTCAGGTTCTTCTAGTCATACTTTTGTTAGAGGATCTGAATCAATTAAGAGTGACTATGTAACACGTTTTCATGGCATTAAACTGCTTTAAGTAGGTCAGTTTAAATGTCCCAGATACACCAGCCACAGTTCAGGACCACAAATGCCTTCTCAACTACCCCAATACAAAAAAACAAAATGAAAAATTTCCTTTCGAGTTTGGCAAATAACATTTGACCTATTATAATTCAGTCATTCTAAAAGACCACAATCTGTTGCAACAGCGGTGTGTTTTTTCCTCGCTCATTGCTCCCCTGTTCGTTCACCCTAACTGGCCTCTAAAGGCCACAAGTACTACAGGACAGTCAGAGAAGGTGCTTAAGTGACAGAGGCTAAGAATGGTGTCCATCTCCTCAGCAAAAGTTACACAGGGACAAACTCCCGCCGCTTCGTTAAGGTGAAGAGCTGGCAAGACAACGATGTGCCCTCATCCAATTACTTACACTGTTACAAGGGCTTAGGTAAAGAAAACATGCACTGAGCAAAGTGCTGTTGCCATGGCAAAGTAAACATTAGTAGTGTCTAGTAATGGGTTTATTACTGTATTACAGAACTGTGCAAAAGTCAGAGACCACCCAACATTTACTTCATTTCTAGTCACCTAAATAACTAAGAAAGTCAAATGAAAGCAAGTGAAAAAAACAAGAGTTTCCAATACTGCACTCTTAAAAAAAGATGGTTCTTCAAAGGTTCTTTAGTAAAGAAAATGGTTCTATATAGACCTGTGAACACTCAAAAGAACATTTACATGATTAAAGGGTTCTTTGCATGGTGAAATGGTTCTTTACACTGATGGATAATGTCTTGTGTATGGTTTTATACAGAACATTTTTGAAAAGGGTTCTATACAGCACCAAAAAGGGTTCTTCTATTGTTAAAATGTCAAGCTTGTTACAACAGAGGAACATTTTTAGTATATACAGCTCATTCTCCATCAATCTGAAGAACGCTTTCATGATGCAGAGAACCATTTAGGCAAACAAAGAGTGTTCATGGTTCTACAGAACATTGCAGAAAAATGCAGAAAATAAATGGGATTTCTAACAACCACCTGAAAGACCTGGTAGACACCAAAACTGTCCCCATCAGATCTGAAAAAAACCACAGGTGTTTCAGTCCACTCTTCCACTGTGAGGTGACAACTCAACGTTATGGGTCTGAAAGGACAGCTGTAGCTGTCAAGAAGGCATTATTGAAAAAATGGAAATAGACATAAAAGAAGAACATTTGCAAATCAAACAAGAAGCTGCTGGTGTTCTTAGAACATCACTGAATGTGTTTACTTGGGATTATTTGGACTGTGAGAAGCAGGAAATGCAAAACCAACTTCTAAAGCCTGATTCACACATGCTTCCATTTCGTAGCGTGAGCAATGCGGCACTACAGCTAGAACGCACTGGCCTTTTCTACATAAAGCGTCTGTGCTGCGGAGCGGAGCAGTGAGAAAGTTATATAGACATTCCTTTTTCCAGACGGATAGATGGCCACATCAGTCACTCTGTTCAATAAAAATATCATTTATA